TGCTGCCTCTGGCCGTTGATAAATCACAGATGGAGCTGGCCTCCTCCTGCGCAGATGTGAGCGTTCTCAAATAAAGCGAGCCGCAGAACTCCGCTGTGTCGATGTGGGGCGCAACACGCTAAACGTGCGACAGATGTTTCCCTCGTATTGTTTTTAAAACATGAACAATTAACGTTTAGCGGTTTTCTTTGTGGTTAACTGAACTGCTGTGGGATTGGTTCCCTTGGTAATAAACCCGTTTGTTGTTTAATTCTGCATTAAGGTGGTGGCACAGACCAGACGCCATGCCTTCATCACATTATTGAGCCACAAAGCTGGCTTACCTGTATCATGGGGAATGTTTTGCCTCTGTTACTACCTCGCTTCACGGCACAAAGCACATCAGGAGTTGGTTGACTTTGACCCCTCGCCATCTTGGTTCATTCATAAGTGTTTTTGTGAAAGAGCCTGCACATTTTTAATAAACAACTTTCAAAACTGGAATAAATAATGTTCAACACAAATTTGTGCTTGTGACAATAGACAGAGAGGAAACATACTTTACATGAGCTGCTGCCGACCCATCTTTTGGCTGATCATGTCCACTAATTTGGTTTTATTTTAATAATTTGTGATATTTTTCTATCCCAGCTGACTTTATTTAAATAAATCTGAATGCTTATAAGTATTAAGCCAGCAAGCATTACAGTTATTTAATATTTTAAGCAAATATAGTCAAGTAATTCAGAGTATTTAAATGATCTTTTGGCTTTTAAAGCATTAATGGACCATCATGGAGCTTTGATAAGTTCCAAAATTCATCTGGTATGGAACTCAAAGGGTCTGAGTCTTCAGCCAAGAAATTAAAAGTTTCTGTAGCAACAGAAGGAAATAGGATCACATGATTTCAAAAATTAACTTTCTGAGAATTTCAGTAAAACCTGTTCAATATTTCAAAGAAGTGGAATAATTACCGTACTTTCCGGTGTATAAGTCACAGTTTGTTGCATAGATTTGTCAGTCCTGCGACTTATATACTGCTTATATACATACTTTTTTTTTTTCCAAGTCCATAACGCAATTTTTGACTGACGCTTTGAATTTCGAAGAACTGCAACAGCGAGTCCTCCCGTGCGTGCTCGCTTCATTCAGCTGGTGCAGGCGTAGGAACGCTGGAGAGCTAGCAGCTCCGGCCGCGATGGATGGATGGATGGATGGATGGATGGATGGATGGATGGATGGATGGATGGCACCCGCCCAGGTGAAATGAAGCGGTTTTGCCCATTAAATAAATGCGACGGGTCAGCGGTGACGCATAATAAATGCGACTTATACGCTGAAGTGACTTATATGTTTTTTTTCCTCTTCATGATACTTTTTGTGACTGATGTGATTTATACGTCGGAAAATATGGTACAAAACCTGCGACATGTTTCATTGTATTAGACAACATGAAATGTTATGAATCTAAGTGTACACAAAGATGCACCCAAAATGAAAGAAGTATGTTTAAGATAAAGAAAAACAGTCTAGCAGCATTTCTCATCATCCATTCCTTCATGGTTCATAGAACACCTCGACTCCTAACACATCCAGTAGGATTTTATGATGCCAACTGTTAGTTGTGGAGTAATTACCTGTAGCTGATTAAAGAACACCTCCTGGGTGCACTTTGAGTGGTAATATTACCCCAGTACCAGGGTCAGTCTCCCATTAAAACAAGCCATAGTGGGAAAAGCTTGCTGCTACAAGAGATTATAATCACTCAAACATAAGACCCTGCATCTCCGTGCATCATAAGGTTTGTCAAACTTATTCTTAAGATTGACTCATAAATAGGCCCAGTGTTTTTATTCTTTACTATAATGAAATTATGGTCCCAACATATTTGCTTTTAAAAGGATGAAAACATGAAGGAGCATAGCAGTATCTAAAAGTGCAAGGAGAGGAAAGCATGGAACCAGCTGGGACCCTGAAGTCAAGATAGAAATGAGTTTTGAAGGCATGTACACATTTCGAACGAGGCGCACAAGAGAGTGAGTGGGCAAAAAAATAAATACAAAGCAGACAAAATAAACTGAAAGAAATGTTCTAATGTGCACCATGGGGGATGGAGTTAATGTTTTGGTTGAATGATCCTTATTAGGACATCTTAAGGCCTTTCAAGTTAGATCAATTTGAACAGTTTTTACTGTTTTTCAGTCTTTATGAACCTGTATGTGTACTTTTACTACAACATACAAGTAATCAGAAAATCCTTTAGGTAGTTGGAAGTGATGCCTTCTGGTTTTAAAGCAGAGCACGGTGCAGGTTTAATACAAACTGGGGGTCTTTTATTATTGCAGTAGACTGTGATCATCATTACCGTGGTCTATGATTCCAGACAGACCTCCTGACACTTCACTGCTGTGGCGTTATTGTAGCAGGAGGTTATGTCAGGTCCGCCGAGCTCAGGCAGTACTTTGCTGTGATGGGCTGTCTTTTAGCTCTTTGCTACAGTGCTGCCTTTTGCGGTGTTGGAGCCTTGGGCTGTCAGATTATAGACCCGTCCAGCCTCATCTCTCCTCACCACTTCAGTCGGCTTCATTTGTTTCTTTGGTAATTTAGAACCACCGCCTCCATCTTGTTATCTCTCTAAATCCCTCATTCACAGTCCCCACACTTCTCCCCCTATGTCGACTGCCTGCTAATCTGTCTTTCTATTTTTTTTCCCGGACAAAAGCTGCTGCTCATCCTTTCGCCTCTTTTTACTTTTCATCATGTTATAGCCGGCTGGTGGCATTTGATATCTCCCATCTGTCTGCTCTGATGCTTTGTCAGGCATTAATGGATGAAAACTGAACTGTACATAGTACATAGTACATTACTGTCCTCTTTTTTTCCCAATCGTTCACTTTTTTGTCAATGGAGCGTCCAAAGTCATAATCCAGTGAATGTATTGCTTAGGGCTTTTAGTAGATATAACCATAGCAGGGGGTGAGCTCCAGTAATACCAGAGCATATTTGTTTGTGAGTTTTGGATGCTTTGCAACTTTGTCTTCAAATACAGAATTTACAGACGCAACTCGCAGTCCAACATTTCAAGATGCCAACCCAATGGGTTTTAAAGAACCTGGACTGGTCTGGCATGTCCTTTAGCATTACATAAATTTGTAATTTGTGTTTTTGAAATGGGAATTATACCTACAGAATGGAAATTTCCACCTGGCTTTGTTTTGTGTATAGCCACTATAAAACTATATTTAAAAAAAGGTTTTGCATCATTAGATACCTTCTCATGACCTGATATGAAAGCTATCAATATGGCTACTTGCGTACACTGAGATTTGGGTGCATAAATAAGCAAAGTCAAAGTTTCTTTACTGTTATTCGCACCACATGTGGTACATGTGGTGGAACAAAATTGTGTACACAGGGTCCCAGTTACATCCAATAAAAGTATAAAATGTAAAAGGAAAACAATAATAAGATCTAAAATATGAACTAAGAAAAACGTTAACCAAAAATACTAGGGGTGTAACAATACATCAATTTAAATCGATATATCGATTGAACGATTAATGATTCAATTATATCGTGGCAAAACTAAAACATCGATTCATATCGTCATGTTTAAAATGCGCTTTTATTTTGAAATTTCCAAGGCACGTCTGCGTCACCATTTCCATGCGTGGCTGCGCTCTGCGGCCGCCTCAGCAACAGGCAGACGAGGCAGAAAACACAGATAATGAAATTCACTCTCGTGCTAGATTTAAATATGCCGCATGCAACAGGTGCCTGTGTGAGTTATAATACTCAGGGAACACAACAAATTTGTCCGTTCATCTGAAGAAGAAACACGGCATTGATAGCCATGTTATGTAAGCTCAGTATCTATTTTTGTTTCTTTATAACTGAAAGGTAATCAGGACACGTTTAAAAAATGCAATTAAACATGAGAAATGTGAGACTGTACCGAATAGGTCTTTTTTTTTTTAAATTAAGAAAAAATGTTTGTTTTTTTAATTTAAATGCCTGGTGCCTGTTATAACAGAAATAAAATGGTTAAATCAAATTTGAGTTGTTTAAATAAATTTATTTACATGTAAATGAGATGGGCATTTGATATCGCAATATATTGATCACAGACTTGTGAATCTAATAGAATCAAAAATCGTATTGTGACAGACTTTGTGATATTGAGAAAAATCGTATCGTCATACAAACAAATCAATATATCATATCGTGGTAAAGCTGGTGATTTACACCCCTAAAAAATACACTAATTACTAGTAGTACAAAAACAATATTCCGAACAGCAGCATGAACATGAGTCTGTGTGAGCAGATGAACACGCATGAACACAGCAACATGAAACAGATCAGCAGCAACATGAAACAGATCAGCAGCAACTTGATGTGATTTTTTTTCACAGTGATTATTCTGGTTAGATATTCATGAGTCTTAACAGCCACAGGGTAGAAGCTGCTCCCCAGTCTAGTGGTTCTACACTTAATGCTCCTCAACCTCCTGCCTGAGGAGAGTGGGGCAAAAAGTGTGTGTGCTGGGTGAGTGGGGTCCTTCATGATGCAAGTGACCCTCTTCCTACATCTGGAAGTGTAGATGTCTGGTGAAGGCTGCACAGAAGATGTTGGAGTCAGCCTCCCCACCATCACACTCTTTACAAAGCTTTTCTTTCTGCAGCTGTGCTGCCTCCATGCCACACGTTGATGCTGGAGCCTAAGCTTGTGCCTTATTTATGTCTGTTTTTGTTTGAATAAAATAATTGTTTTAAAAGTTCATTTGATAAAATGTCATTTTAAGACCATTTTAATGTAAGTAATTGTTCATTATAAAAAGTGTGCCTTCTCCTACGTCAGTGAACTATTGTTCTGTTCGGGGAATATAGTTTCTATATAAATATAACTACAGCCATTCATCTTCAGTTAACGTGTTGACTCGAACGTGCAGCCTTATTAAAGAAAGCTGTATGGAAATGTAAGATTTATGACGTGCAACATGTTGTGTCTGTGTCCTTTCAGGTCAGCCAAGGTAATGTCCCAGGTGTGGAGAGCGCCTCTCTGGCCATGGACACAGAGGAAGGTGTTGAGGTGGTGTGGAACGAAGTTCTCTTCTCTGATAAGAAGGTCTTCAAAGCCCAGGAGGTACCATGACTGTGCAGCTTAGCAGAGCAGTTTTGTCACATTGATGGTTCCTCTACCGGTTGCCACTTTGTGTCTTTGTATAATGAATTTTTTAAACACATTATTTGACATTTCTGTACAGATATTTTTATAAACCACATATAAAAAGGAACTTAGCCTTTCTCATGTTGCCCACAGCTTTGCTTTATGCACTGATATGTACAATACATGTTTTTCTACTAGAGTTGCCACCTGCTGGTCAGTAAAAACGCACTTTGACAATGGCTTCGCTTCTCAGACTCAGAGGCTGTTTTCATACGCAGCCTAATGTGACAACTTAACAGATAATCCCACAGTTAATTTAAAAATGCTTTCGTTCAGCCAAAATTAATGTTGTTGATGGAATCTAAATAAAAAAAAATTCCTGCAAGTCATTCTAGTTGATTAACAGCTTCTATTTTTTAGCATTTATGCTTATATAATTACACAATCATTTTAATTATGATTTGCTGGTTAGCTTTATTGCTTGAGGCTTGCAGGCTCTTGCGTGACGTGACTGCTTTTTGTTTGTTGCGCAGGAGAAAATCAAAGAGATGTTCGAGAACTTGATGCAGGTTGAACACCCCAACATAGTCAAGTTTCACAAGTACTGGCTGGACATGAAGGAGAGCCAGGCTCGGGTGAGAAATTCATTCTTTCTCCCCCTTTTCTTACCGGTTTTCTTTGAATACTTTGCATGAAGCATCTCTTTGTTTTTCTTCCATGCAGGTGATTTTCATCACTGAATATATGTCATCAGGCAGTCTGAAGCAGTTCCTGAAGAAGACAAAGAAGAACCACAAGACCATGAATGTGAAGGTCGTTATTTTTACTCTGGTCATATAATTTGCTGAGCTGGCGTGTAGTCTTAGTCTTATGGTGGTAATTAAAGGAACTGCAGTTCAGTCACAGTTTAGACCCATATTTCCTGCAGGATTAGAGATTATGTAACATCCTGGTGGCTCAATCTGTTCAGTCGTGTACCTTTTTTATGTATATGAGATATTTTTCTTCCTATTTATCAGCCTGTAATCCATATAATCACTCATAACGAACAACAAGCCTATTTAAATGCTGTTTCAGACTGGGCATTTTCTCATTGTTTCTTTCTGTAGCCATTTCTTTATTTTTGATTTCAGGCCTGGAAGAGATGGTGCACCCAGATTCTGTCGGCGCTCAGGTACTGATGGATTTCCTCCAAAGGAGTCTGACAGAGACGCCTGTTATTACAGAGCGAGCTTTAATAATATGTTTTCTCGCAGTTATCTGCACTCCTGCGACCCTCCAATAATCCACGGCAACCTGACGTGCGACACAATCTTCATCCAGCACAACGGCCTCATCAAGATCGGCTCAGGTCTGCTCCCAGCAGGGCTTTCTCTGACACTACACCTAGTTTTCTTCACCCTTAATGTTGACTAACTTTTAATTCAGTTCTTTTCAGTTTATTTATATAGTGCCAAGTCACAACAGAAGTCATCTCAGGACA